ACGCTTCTAAAAGGTAGCAAAACAGATTGAACACAATACCAAAGGACTTCCGTATTCGTTCGTAGAAACAAAATATTTCCATTCGATAAATCCTTAATCGATACTGTTCGATACAAGATGATACAACGTGAGATCTGCGACGTAACGAGCCAAAGAAATAAATAAAGCCAGAAACAAGCAAAAGATAGATTACCTTGGTCCGGATGCGAGTTGAGTCACGGACTTGTAGTCGATTGGCGAACGAGGTCTATGCAGATCTGCGGTAAAAAGCTCGGCGATCTTCTCGGTAACGATCTTAATCGCCGTGTACACGTAAACTTTCTAAATGTAGCACGCACCGATATCGAAGAACGCGCGAGTACACGCCTTCCTTTCTGTGGGAAAATCAACTGATGAATCAGTTACTGATTCGAACATCAACTTTGTTATTCTTACGATTACATTCCTGGATAAAAAGATAGCGCGGACAATGCCAGACGGAAGTAGATATTAAGACACTTGTTATTATATAGTTGCATTCACTCACTGGAATGTAAGATACGATACAAATGCAAATTTTTGCGGATTTTTGTGTATTTATAGGAAATTGGAAAACGCAAAATTGCGCAGAATGCATATAAAGTGAAAAAATATATAAAATATCCAAGGTATGGTGCTTTCCATAGTACTTGATAAATGAAACAACTTTCTACCCGGGACTTTTTAGGACTCTTTTTAGGAATTTAGGTATTTTCTTAATTACATTGTCGAATGTATAAATTTGCATAAAAATACACAGTCCATCGATGATTCTCAGTAGAGTTCAGTTTTATGATGTCGGAGCTTGGCTACGAAGGATCCAGCGGAAAGCTAAGCTACGTTATAACTAACCAGGCTAAGTTTAAAAATATTTGCTTCGACCTCAATTTGCACAGCTACTTCTCAGTTAGCAAATGACAGCACTGTGACTTCGAGAGTACACATACCCATACACTTGATGAATCATAGCAAATTCGTCTTACGATATCTACGTAAATATTCTTGCAAAGATAATCGAAGAAATTCGTTCGAACCACGAAATATAGCGAGCACCACGTTTCGGATATTTCATACTTTTTCTCTACGCATGTCTCCACTGTCAAGCTTGCCGTGAAAGTATGAAAAATCCAGAGTCTATCGTAGGATCGATAATTAAGATCAATAACCCATGAGTAAGCAACAAGATTTCTGCAATTCCGTGCATATTCTATTGGAATACAATAAAAATACGGCGAGAACGATACACGGTTACGCAATTTAACGCTAAATCTTTTTAACGGTGCGGTAATGACCGTTCGGCCGAAAATTCCTGCCAATAAATCGTTATTCGACGGTCTGATTTATTACGTAGACCACGGCAGAAAAGCGACAAAGTATGAACGATTTGACAGTGATTATACGTGTGCGTTGATTGCGCTTGGCTGTCGAGATCGATTCGATCGGCCAGATCTCTTCCAGCTATAGGGACAAATGTGCTTTAATTATCGTAATCGGCGGATCACCGACGTTACCATCTTGCCAATTTCGATTAAATCACGCAATAGCGACCACTGTGTTGCGTACCGTGCGTGTAACGTGATCGTGTAATCAATTAAAATAAACGTTGGTGCAAACATTGAATAATAATCGTAAGCCAATATCGCGATGGTTGCCGTGTAATAAAGCGAATGGTTCGGAGACACGAGGAACGGAAATGGCTGGCGTAATGAAAATTAATTACGGCCGATCGTTAAAGCGCATCGGCGAGTTCGTATTTCTTGGCGATGTAGATCGAAAGAATACGAAAGAAGGCTGGAAAACGAGATCGTGTCGTTTTTCAAGGGGAAACCGTTATAGAAAATTCTGTCGTTCGTTTATCTTCCGATATGTACAATCTACATATGTAATAAACGCCGTGTCTCGACGAATAGAATTCACGATAATTACCCGTAGATTCCGGTCGTGTTTAGGAACCAGGTCGACAAAGCAGGTGTACACAGTCGGATTTGGAAGCCAGCAATACAGCCTTTCGCAAAAGTTTTCGTATAGCTACGATGCAAAGTCTACGCTTTACCATTTATAGGAAACTAACGCTTTCAAAGAATAGATTTGCATATTGACTTGATGTCGTTAGTCAAAGGTGAAAGTACTTCGATCGACTAAAAGACTTCGTTCCTCTAAAAGACTTGGATACGATAAAATTATTATTATACTTAGTAGATAAACGATTCTCTATTCAGGTTTTATATGTTTCTCATCATATCGGAAGAATGTAAATTTGCAGTTATTTTATAACTGAATAACAAATAATCGTAATTGTTATATTTTCCATGGACTTTGATAATTCTCATTGGAAGAAACATTACGCAAAAGTGTCATCTTCTGTTGGCGTACGTTCGTCTCCTTTTATTTTAGAAAAAGCAATATATCAAAATGTTTTCGGTGATATTATTTCTTACGAATTTATACATTAAATCGATGGTTCTTCTTCGTAATTTGTTACGTTACATTGTTATTCTCTTCCTCTGTCACGCAGATATAATGCAACTCAACGTCTTTGAGAGTGATAAAAAGTGATGACCACGAAAAAAAGAAAAAGGTGACGAGCTTTTATTTTAACAATCGCGAAGATCGTTTCCACTCGCGCGTTACAGCCCGTAACTAGAATAACTGGAGAAATTGGCAGCAAAAAGCTGATAGTAAAACAATTACAATAATTTTACATAAAATGACTCCTGTATTGTGCTAATTTCTTGTGAAATTATTCTGCGAATTCCATGCTCACAATACATACTTAAATTCCACTCCCACCGTACCCGTACCCTCGATGTCCAGCGTGAGAAATTTTGCGGGTGGAAATTTTTTTACCGTTATTGATGCAACGATATTACATAGGCGAGACGACGATGGGTTTCATTAAGGGTCGTGCAACCAGTATCATTAACTTCTCTTACGAATAGCGTTACTCGTCGTGAATAATACGAGTACCATCGCAGAGAACTGTAGAGACCGCATAGTAACCTACTGTTTTGATCGGTGTTGAATACAATGAACACGGTCCTGCACCCCTGCTATACTGTTACTGTATTCTTTTCAAGTTTGTTAATCAAGCATCAGTGCCGGTTATTATCGTGCCGCGTAATCTACGGATACCTCGGTCCATTATATGTATATAGGTGCAACGGTCTGATATAAAACGATAATTGCAGTTATGCAGCGTAGGCTGCAACGTTAACGCACGATGCAGTTAGAGGAATCGGGATTGAAAATGCGAGATAAGAAATTTAAGAGCGTCGTTGCGTTTAATACGACGAGGTCGAGAGCATATTTGTGAGAAAATTAAAAGATCGTCCTGTAATTGAAAGATCGTCTCAGTGGCTTGACAAAATTTCACGAGCAAATCGTAATATCGACAGATAAGAATGTTTCGATGATTAATGGTTTCGCAACTAAGGAATTTGTCATTAGTTGATATTGACAAAATCCGCATTTCCTTAGTTGTCAACCCATAGAATCCCATATTTTCATGAACTTTGCCAAATGGATGATAAATTACTTCCTAAACGGGTATTCCTCTCGTCTGGCAAATGCTCGACGAGTATACTCGACGTATTACGAATCTTTGCGTATATTCCTACGTCTTTATCTATTTCACGTACATTTTAATGGTTTCGCAAACAAGGACTGCGTATTAGTCGACATTGACAAAAACTCTCACTCATTTATTTGCCACCCTGAGCGACGCACCGACTTATTTGCCATACCAAAAAATTCCATATTTTCATGAACCCAAAAAATTCGTATTTTCATTAAGTTTGCCAAATGAATGATAAATTGCTTCCTAAACGGGTATTCCTCTCGTCTGGCAAATGCTCGACGAGTATACTCGACGTATTACGAATCTTTGCGTATCTTCCTACGTCTTCACGTATTTTATGTACATTTTAAGCTCGTAGTATTGGTAATTTGTACTTTGCGACGAGTAAAATTTCGCTGAGAATTTTAGTACAATTATACGAAGGGTAAAACAAACTCGTGAGACGATCGTTGGAGCGCAAAAATCACGATAACGGTAACAGAATGGTAGAAATAAGACGAGCGCCACACCTACGTCGAAAAATGAGAAATTCCCTCGGAAAGCTCGTCGCTGGTCCGATGCTTCAGGCTGAAAGAAGACTGAACGCTGAGGGGATTTCGACGGCTGAAAGGCAGCGTCTCGTACGCGCATCGAAATCACCTCGTCCGTACTACGCCTGATCGCGTATCGAAATCTCCGCGCGAGCGTTAAACGCGAGTCGCGGACGTCGGACGTCGGGACGCCATTTTCTCATTACAGGAGCAGCGTCGAGGTAAACGTAATCGCAGAGTCTGTGGGACTCTTTTCGCGGGCAATGGGTCGATTCCGATGGCGACGCAACGAAATCGGAACAAATTGGCGCGGCGACCGTGAGGCACGAACCCTGGCTGCCCGAAGCACAACGAAGACCGAGAGGAATACAGAGAAGAAAAAGAAACGAAAATTTACGTTTCGCTTGGGAAGAGAAAAAAGGAAAGAAATCTGCCTTTTGCTTAACCCAGCGCTACTGCGATCCTCGAATCTTTATATTTCCATTTTACAGTTCATTTCGGCAAACGAAAGGATCCGTGCGACGTTTTAAGAAAATGTTCGACACGAAATAACCGAAGCGAGAAATCAGACGTACCGGTGAGACTCGCTTCGTGTTTCGTGCAGACTGAAGAGAGGTTTTAACGTTGGAAAAATATAATTGGGTGTGGAGTGTGACGTGAAAGAACGCGGTGGAATCAAGAAGAACGAAGAAATCCAGCTTTTGCCTAAGAAGAGGAGTAAGAAGAAGAAGAGAGGCAGGGAAAGAAGCGAAACAGCGACGAAAATTAAAGGAAGAAAAGTAGCGTCCGGCTCGGTTCCCACGAGGTGGTG